AATGCTAGTTGCACTTAGATTGGCCAAGTGCAAATTTTTTAAAATAGAAAAACTGTAAAAAGTAACATTTAACATTTAAAGTTTTCCGCAATTTGCAGTACTTACTGATATGGGCGTAAGGGTTTGCATCAGTTGTACGAACCGAAGAAATCTAAAATTTGATTTCGAGTTCCCACCACCATTATCCTTTTGGCATTCCAGTACGTCTTTCCAAAAAAAAGTTAAAATTTTATGTTAAATTTCTTAATTTCTTCTATATTTTTAATTTAATAATTAAATTTTTATTAAAATCAATAAATTTATAAATTTAGTAATTTAAATAGTTTAAGTTTTTTTAATACAGTAAATTTAATGTTTATTTATATATTAATTACATAAATAAAATATTAATATAATAAATATTAACTTTATTTAGATAAATAAATTATAAAGGGTTAAGGCCATCTATCGTCCCTCTACAATAAAAAATAGTGCAATCTAAACCTTTTACTATGAATTGGCTCCATGTGGTCCCTCTACTATCAATTAACTCCACCTGTCGTCCCTCTACAATGCAAAAATATTCCACTGTCGTCCCTCCATCCAACATAAGCTAACGGTAGTGTTTAATGACCGTTAAGTGTAAACGGTCAAACCGGTTAGGTCTTTTTTATTTTTATTTTTTGCGACCTTGTCTTGTGGGCCCATCATCATCTTCATCATCATACCCATCACCATGATCCGCCTCTGCCCCCATCTCCACTTCCACAACCCCGATGACGACGTCGTCGCCCATCACCACTCTTGCCCTGATCAAACCCTCACCCTGGATCCCATTCCCTACTGGTACCATGAATTCCATTTCTTCTCCTCCGATCCCGATGAATTCTCATTTTCGAATGCGCTCGTCGTCGACAACGGCCTTGATCTCCTTGATAACCGGGGGAACCAAGTCAATTTCGTCATCGATCTCCTCCACCAGCCGTCGAGCAATCCCAGGTATTGATTTGGTCTATTTCCGATGGTACCACTAGCAATCAAAACAATAACCTGTTGATTTGGTCTCTGATGCATTAACTGGTCTAGGTTTCGGTGTTATTGATGGAACCCATGAATTGGATATGGATGATTTGGAGTTAGATTTAGGGTTAGGGTTTGGTTCTGTAGAGACACACTATGGTAATTTTGGTTTTGTTGTTGAAACTATTGGTGGCAGTGATGTTGAGGTAGATGTTGGTGGTGATGATGATGATTTCCCTGTGGAGAGGAGGGTTTCAGGTTTGGCTTCCAACGAGGTTGCCTCCACTGTTGGTGGGGTTGAAGTCAAACTTGAACCCACAGGGAAAGTGTTAGGCTGGTTGGTTTTGAGTCAGATTCAGAGGACAATGACAATGGGGCCTTCGTTGTAGATTTGAATTCAGGTGGTAGTATGGTATGGATCGTGTTGATGGTTATGATGAGGATGAGATACTGAGAGATATAGTAGGGGTTTTTTTTTCAATTTCTTTGTGACAGTTTTCTTTTTCTTTGTATTGTGTTTGATTTTAAATGAAATTCTTTGCATCTTCAACATCTTGGGTTTTTTTTAGAAAGACAATTACAAAGAAAGATAAAGAAATTCATTGATTCTGAATGAAATTTTTTGCATCCACATAGATAATGGTTGGTGTTCTATTCCGATAAATTTGAAATTTTGTGAATTCTCACATGAATAGAAATGGGTTAAAT